CAAGGTGTTATCCCTCTACTTAGTAGTACATAATAGTACAGTAGTACATTTCCAAAACATCACTGACCTACCTTAAAAACAAAAAAACATAAAATATATAAAATATAGTCTAAAATACAGTTGAGTATACTATATTTGAAAATGTGGAAGTCGTTTATATGTGAATTTAAAAATATAATTGACTACACATTTTCAAAATATTATAATTCAAAAACATCTTTAACCACTTATAAAACAAACGAAATAAAAAAAAAAAAAACCAAATTAATAATAATAAAATAAAGTTATAAATGTGAAAATGAATATACAACAAAATCCATTAAAAATAGTGTTTAAAATGTGTCCCCAGATGAGTATCTCTGTAGTTTGTAGTTTGCTTATATGTGAATTTTTACTTTATATAAGCATACGCAAATGTAGAAAATAGTTTATTTCAATATATATTAATTTTTCATACAGAAAGTATTATCTATCCATCAAATATACGTCTAGGTTAAGTGATTTTATTCAAAACCTTCAATACTTCGACTTATACTAGCTAGTGGTTGATAAAAGTACATAAAATCTAAAACAAATAAAATTAAAAGCATAAAATGTTAAAATTGTGTTTAAAATGTAACCCCAGATGAGTATACTATGTTCCAAAATGTCGAACTAGTCTACATATATGTGACTTTTTACTTCATATAGACTCGTTCACATTTTGAAAATATTATATTTCAAAAACATCATAAAAACCTTAAACCACGGAAAAAAATGTGCTTAAAATGTATCCACAGATGAATATACTATATATCTACGTTTGGAGTTCGCTTTTGTGTGCATTTTTACTTCATATAAGCGTACGCAAATGTAGAAAATAGTATATTTCAAAAAAATCACTGACCTACTACAAACAACAAAAACTATATCCATCAAGTATACGTAAAAGTTATGTGATTTTATTTATAAAAATAAAAAAAAATAAAACATAAAATAATAAAAAGTTGTGTTTCAAATGTAGGTGTGTTTCAAAATCAGAATACTATATTTCTATGTTTGGTGTTTACTTATATGTTAATTTTTTACTTCATATGAGATTCCCCAAATGTAGAAAATGGTATATTTAAAAAAAATCACAAACCTCAATAAAAATATAAAAAAAAATATATTTAATTAAAAAAAATGGATTACCTATCCAATTCCACTGATAATAACAAGATAATAAAAAGAAACAAATAAAAGTCACTAAAAACATTTAAAATAAAAACAGTGTTTAAAGTGAAAACCCAATATTAATATGCTTATTTTTTGGAGTTTGACAAAGCTTATATGTATATTAATATTTAATCTGAGCCATCTTGTTATCTAAAAAATATATATTAATTTAATAGAAAACAACAGAAAATACACTAAACAATGATATAAAGGATAAATTTTAAAACGTATTCTCCTTTGCCTGGGAATTGGTGGGCGTTTGTTTGTATTTTTTATTGAAAATAGACACCTACCAATTTTCCATTTAAAGGATAATCAAAGCCCCCAATAAATGTATTTGTAATAAAAGTACAAAGAAAACAAAAGTGTTTAAAATTATTTTCCTTTGCCTGGAACACGGTAGTCGTTTGTTTGTATTTTTATTAAAAACAGCCGACTACCCGTTTTCCATTTAAAGGATAATCAAAGCCACAAATAAGTGTTTCAACCTAAAGAGTTAAAGAAAATATTATATTTTTGATCATCAAAGCAAAACAGAATATATCCTCAATAAAAGTGTAATAAATTAGTGAAAAATATTATTTAAAATAAATCCCCAGATGAGTATAACGTATCTAGATGTAGATCAAGATTATGTGTGAATTATTAACTTACATAAAATTGGTCTTCATCTAGAATATATTATATTTATAATCATCAAAGCTTCATCAAAAATAGTTCCAACTACAACTACAGGTATTATTATTATTCCTCTAATTAGAATACATCAGTTTTCTATGATTTCATAGAAAATGAACAACAGAAAATACCAAAAGAAATGATATAAAGGATACATTTTTAAACGTATTCTCCTTTGCCTGGGAATTGGTGGGCGTTTGTTTGTATTTTTTATTGAAAATAGACACCTACCAATTTTCCATTTAAAGGATAATCAAAGCCCCCAATAAATGTATTTGTAATAAAAGTACAAAGAAAACAAAAGTGTTTAAAATTATTTTCCTTTGCCTGGAACACGGTAGTCGTTTGTTTGTATTTTTATTAAAAACAGCCGACTACCCGTTTTCCATTTAAAGGATAATCAAAGCCACAAATAAGTGTTTCAACCTAAAGAGTTAAAGAAAATATTATATTTTTAATCATCAAAGCAAAACAGAATATATCCTCAATAAAAGTGTAATAAATTAGTGAAAAATATTATTTAAAATAAATCCCCAGATGAGTATAACGTATCTAGATGTAGATCAAGATTATGTGTGAATTATTAACTTACATAAAATTGGTCTTCATCTAGAATATATTATATTTATAATCATCAAAGCTTCATCAAAAATAGTTCCAACTACAACTACAGGTATTATTATTATTCCTCTAATTAGAATACATCAGTTTTCTATGATTTCATAGAAAATGAACAACAGAAAATACCAAAAGAAATGATATAAAGGATACATTTTTAAACGTATTCTCCTTTGCCTGGGAATTGATGGGCGTTTGTTTTTATTTTTATTGAAAATAGACGTCTATCAATTTTCCATTCAAAGGATAATCAAAGTCACCAGTGAATGTAATTGTAATTAAAGTACAAAGAAAACAAAAGTGTTTAAAATTATTTTCCTTTGCCTGGAAGTCGGTAGTAGTTTGTTTGTATTTTTATTGAAAACAGGCGACTACCCATTTTCCACTTAAAGGATAATCAAAGCCACAAAGTGTTTCACAAAAAAGTCTTCAAATTAAAGTTCAAAGAGAAGAAAAGTGTTAAAATACAAAAAAAAAGTATTATCTAATTACTACAAGGGGAGTCATAGTGAAATACATATTTTTAAAAACTATTACATTATACCTTCCTTTGGCTTAATTGATAATCAAATCTTCAACAAAAAAAAAAAAATAATAATAATAATAATAATAAAAAGTGAAAAATGAAGTAAAGAAATAAATGTGCGAATAAAATAATTATGTCAATATGTATAGTGTTTTCTCATATCCAAAGTGTTTTAATGTATTTTTTAAATTCATAACTTCATTTTGTACATTGGAAAAATTCTATATATTTAAACCTATGTTAAAGAGTTAAAGTTGAGTTGAGTTCCTACATTCATTCAAAAGTGATATTTCCAAATGGGGTATTAACGTCTTGGCATTGGTATATAACTACTCTAGCTGCCCTCGCTGCCACTGGAATATTTTTGTCACAAGGTATATTCTAAAACGCACAAAGTATATATATATATATATATATATATGTGTACAAGTTGGATTCTTTTCAGGCCATCCAGATTGATATTCAGATGCTATTATCATCGTATAATGCCTCTATGTAATTGTCGATTTTCGAGACTAAAGACGAATTAGCATGACTAATTGGACTTGGGTTTGGCTTCCTCTTTTTATATCAACTAAGATAATGGTAATTTTTTGGACTATCATATAATTGCTATGATCATTGTGACATTGATTTTTAAGGTTCACCACTTCAGATAAGAGATCCTACCATCATAATATTAGTTATTAAGGTAAGTTTTAATATTTTATATATTCTAAGAGTAATTTTTGGTTCTGAATTTTTCAGATATAAACCACATGATACATATGGTCTATAGCTTGAACGGTAAGTGTTTGTTTTGGAAGATTTCCAAAAGAATTAACTTGATTACAATTTGGGGAAAATAGTGTGGCAACCAATTGGGGTTTCATTTTTTTTTTTCTGTTTGTTTGGCACAATAACAGCAAGATATAGAAATTCTATATATTACATATATTTTTTTGTGTAGAAAACTAAAAGCTATATAAAGTCAGTGAAAAATACTAAATATATGAAAACAAAAAACCTCCTAAATCATAAATCATAGCAAACAAAACAAGCCTCCTTTTTTTTTGTAGTGTGTAGTGTGTAGGCCTTTAAAGAAACAGCAAAAAAAAAAAAATGAATGTGTTGAGAGGCGCATTTTCGAGATCACGCGTCGGATGCGTGACTGACTGACAGAACGTCTATATAGAGAAGATCCGAGATCGGATCTCAGTTGGCCATGATCGGGGGTCTCCTTTTTTGTTTTTATGTAGGATTTCTCTACCTCCGGAGAACTGGGGGAGAGAGTCTTTTTCGAAGAGGAGTATGAAGTAGAAGCAGCTGTTTCCTCAAAACGGCAGGGGGTGTGCACAGTTCACACAGATACAGATACAACGATGCAGATACATTTTACAGATACAGATACTGAAAACCAAGCAAGACAAGTTGCACTAATGATTATCAGGTAGAAATGATGAGACGAGTTTCAAAATAATTATTTTTATTTAAGGATTTTAAAAATTCTCAACTATACGATTAATGTTTAAATAAAATTCTATCGTATAAGAATATTAAAATATAAAGATAAAGCCCATAATTGCAAGTACCCCAAGGGGAATTGCAAGTACCCCCGCCTCTGAATAATTTAGGCCATATTACAGAGATATAAGGGTAGATAGTCCCCCCATAAATCGTCGTGTAAACATATGTGAATGAATTTCGTCATACATCTTATCGAATCGATATTTTTTTGGAGGCCTTTATTTTGATTTTGACGGTTTTCTGGCTTGGGTTTGGGTTTTGGGGGAAACACTAACCTATCCTAAGAGAAATGGCCAAGGGAAAGGTAATAATAACCACAGAGAGCCTTTCCATTCTTATTAGCTAATTAATTGGAATCTGACATGTTTTTTTTTCTTATATTGGAATGTATGGTATGCGAGGGTTGTTTATATAGTTTTTAGTGCAGATACAAGATAATGGTAGGTAGGTAGATAGTTGGGTGGGGGGGACTTACGTTGACCAAACTAACACCAAAACAGGCAACCCATCCCCAACCGCCATCGGGGGCAACTTTTCTTGGCTGTTTGGTTGCCATTTTCCTTCACTTTTCTTTTCTTTTCTTCGCTTCTCTTTGCTCTTTTGTGTGTTTTGTTTTTATTTTGTGTTCTCCTCGAGTTTTCTTCTGGATTGCTTTGGTTTTTCTTTTATTTTTTTTTAGACAAGGTGTATTCTTTTTTTTTTTTTTTTTTTTTGTATTTATGGATTTATAGATATTTTGTTTTACTGCGTTGTTAATTTCTTCTCTTTGCTTATTGCGCTGTTTTTAATATGTTAATTATTTTCATAAATTTTTGTTGTTTTTTTAATTTCTTGTAAACACTTGAAAAAAATGTATTTCAAAAAAATAATAAGCCTGTTTTTGCTTATTTCTTTTATTCAAGTTTACGTTTTAGATTTTGGCGTGTTGATCGAACACGCTTTTTGATCTTTTCGCGATATATTTTTTATTGGTGGGTTTACTTTTTATTTAAGGCACTTTTTGGAGAACGCGCGCGTTGTTTTAAAATTAATTTATTTCAGTTATTTCTTTTGCTTTTGTTTTGGCCCGAGTTCGTGTTTTTTTTTTTATTCTGGTTCCAGCTGTTTTTGGATAGTCTCCTTTTTAATTTTTTATTTTTTAGTTAGTCCAAGGGGGTGGTGTGTGTGTGTGTGTTTTTGTGTTGGTTTTTGCGAAAGGGGGGCGAGCGGCTTTTGGGGCCTGCGCTGCGGTGCGGTGCGTCGCTCTCAGCGGACTTCTGCCGTTTGGTAGCGTGGTCGCCTGGCAAGCGCTATTTATTTCAAAGAGGGGGCGGCGGGCAGGCGTACACCACTGTCTCTGTCTCCTCCGTCTCCGTCTCCTTCTAAACGTCTCGGTTTTAGTTAGCCGTTTTCCGTCTCGCTTGCTCACTCAGTCGCTTCCTCGGTTCGATGAGCTACGCGCTACGCGGCTGTTCAATCGATACTGACTGCTGTCCCGTCGCCGCTGGTCTGATGCCGCCACCGCCACTGTCGCCGCCGCTGCTGCACAATGGGCACAAATGGTCAATGGGCATAGCGATAATGAACCCTAATCGTTAGTTGGGCTAGGCATAATTCGTTCATAGAGGGTTTTTGAGGTCATTATAAAGATTATACTTAATTTTATACCTTCTTTTATACCTCCTATTATACATCTTTTTCTAGCTACTCATATATGTAAATTTTTCCAAACTTTAGTATTGGCATTGAAACTATAGCACCATTTTTTACTGATTATGCTAGTTTTTAGTGATAAATGTAACACTTTTACTAATTTCATTTTCTAACCCTTCGAAATAACCGTTCAAAACTCCTAAAAATTTAAACTATTTTTAATTTATTCATTACTTATATTTTCAAAAACATTACTACCTTTTTTTAGTAATTTTAAGTTTGTAATTTTTAAATATTCCACCTGTAGTCCTTTTGCAGATTTTTGTATTTGTACTCTACTCTATCTACATATTTTATCATTTTTTCTTTTCAATGTATTTTTCTTATCACTAATCTATCAATTTAACTAAATTTCTTATTTGTAAATGCCATTTTCGACAAAAAAAAATTATCCTTCCATCCTTCTAATAGTAATTTTTCTTACAGGATCTGTTGTGTCTCTATACCTTCGAACATCCGAAACCCTTATTGACCCCACTGTGCCTGCGTCCCCCAAAGGCAATGTGGGGAGAGCCAGTCAGTCAGTGAGTGAGCAGGTAAGAGAGCGCCAGTGAACAGTGAGAGCGCCTCCCTGGCCTGGCCTGGCCTGGCATGTGTTTATTGTTATTGTTGGTATGTTTCAAGATCGCGTTCTAATGCGGTGCGTGGAAGAGAGAGGGCTAATGCTTGGGGCGAGAAAGAACGATAGAGACGTACATCGTAGAACTTGCTTGCACTTTGCTTGCCAAAATCCACAAACAACACAAAGGCCTGGCTTCTTTGTTTACATTTGTTCTTTGTCTGGAGTGTTGCATTGCATTTGGAAAGTCATGCTGCACTGTGTTACCTGCCTCGTTGGTCCCCCCAGGCAGCCAATCCCTGTCCCCGCAAGCCACCCCTTCACCAGCCACCCCAACGCCCTTTGTTACGCCCACTTGAGCGCCTTCTTCGTGGAGATACAATATTGTTTTTGTTTTTGATTCCGTTGCAGTTGCGCAAATGCTCCCTCGCTCTTTTTTTTTTACGTTTATTTTCTTATTTTTCAGTTAACACTCTCTGCTCCAAAGGCTTGCTCTCTTTTTTGGGCCCTCTGCACAAGTGTGGGTGTGAGTGATCAAAAGAGATGGGGGTAGCCTGGCGTTGCCAGATTTTTGGTCTTATTTTTCCATTAATGAGGATCTTATCAGCTGATCACAGTAAATATTGCCTAAAACCAAAATGTGGACCTTATTAAATCTTAAAATTTATGTTTTTTATGATCAAGGAACAAATGTTTTAATTTTAAAAAGAAACTTTGTACCTTCTTCATACAATATATTTATTTTGTAACCATCATAATGACTTGAACATAATCTAGACCTTATTAAATCTTAAAATTGATGTTTTTTATGAACAAGGTTCAAATGTTTTAATTTTAATAAGAAACTTTGAACCTTCTTCATACAATATATTCATTTTGTAACCATCATAATGACTTGAACATAATATAGACCTTATTAAATCTTAAAATTAATGTTTTATATGAACAAGGTTCAAATGTTTTAATTTTAAAAAGAAACTTTGGACCTTCTTCATACAATACATTTATTTTGTAACCATCATAATGACATAAACATAAGTGAAATCACATAAGATAACCATAAATAATAGATAATAATTTTTCGAGGGTGTATCCTTGTAACATGTTTTTTTACATCATGCCCAAGGGTAGGCCTCTCGGAAAACTTTTATCATAGCAACATTTAAATTATTTTGGTGCAGTAAGTGTATAATGCCAAAGGTCCAAGATGAAACCAATTTTCGGGGTGTTTTTAAAATTTGAGTTTTTTAGCCCATAACTACAACTACAAGTTTAACAAATATAACTATACAAAAACATTAATATTTAATTATTTTTTTTTAGGTTTAACAACCCTTTTAATGCCTCGAAGAACATCGTGGACCAGGTATGAGCTTCCATTTGCCATTTGACCTTTGGTCCTTTAACCAGAACTCTGCCTCTTTTTCCAACTAATTGGCCAGGCAAAGCTCTTTTAATTGCCACGGATTCAATGGAGTGGCGATGATGCTCTGATGACTGGCAATTGACCAACTCAAAGAGAGGGGATATTAGCATTGAAAATGAAAATGAAAGTGTCCCCGCGAGCACAGTGTGGAGTGTGTCCTCATTCTGTGCTAATGCTTTACCATTCATGGGCTTGGCTCTTCTCCCAGCTTGACAAAGAATCGATAAATGTTTGAGTCACACAAACAGACAAACAAACAAAAACACAACCAACAAACATACATCATATCACAACCAAAGTGCTGGTGGGGGGAATTTGCATACGAGTACTTACTCAAGCTGCTTCTGCCTTCAGCAGATTGTTGCCTGCTTTTGCCGTCCAGCTCATCAAGCACAGATCATCTGGTTTGGCCAAATTCTAGCCAAGACTAGAGTTTGAAGAGAAAGTTTAAGAAAATACGATGGGATATTGAATTTTAAAGACACCATTTAATAAATGAAATATTAAAATATTTATTTACAAAAAATTTGAAAAGGTTCATACCAATAAATATGTATTATTTTTGTATTTTCTTATTTAAATTGGAAAATACATTTCTCAAATAATATTCAAATCAGGTTTAATAATTTTATTAAATCAATAAAATTTATTAAATCCATTTCAACGTATTTTTTTTGTTAGTAAATCTATGATATAAAATCACTATAATATCAAAGAATTTTTAATTTTTTTTTTTTTATTTTATTTTTTTTTTTTTTTTTTTTTATATTAAATATTTTCCCTCCCAAGCAACATCTCTGTGTCTCAACCTTCTGGTTTTGTTTGCTTCCTGTTCCAACTTGTTGCTCAGTTGGTGACGCCACACGCAGGCAATGTGCTTTTATAGTTTCCTTTGAAAAGGACGAAGGAAGCAGCTGATAAGAGCAGAGAAAGTGGCGGGCGAAGTGCTGAGGGAAAGTGGATGAGTGGGTGGAAGTAGATGACAGGCTTTATGTGCCCTTTACAAAGTATTCCTAACCCTTGGACGGATTCAAGACAGCTAGACTGCCAGAAAGTTAATTGAAATTTTAAGAAGCGCTTACCAAAGCCATCATAATTATTTGATGGAACAAACAAGAAGCTGTTAGTGTAGTCATTATATTGCAGTTTACATTTCTTATTTTTTTCCTCCAATAGAAAATGATTAATATTGAGGCTGGCGCACAAATATATTTAATTACTTTCGAATTCGAATATGCGAGAATAACCAGGAAGTACATATCTGGGCAGTGTCTCTCTCACTCTCTGGCCCTCATCTGTCTTTCCCCATTTGTTGCCAATCAACAGTTGGCCCCCATAAATTCCAGTGTATGGCAATTGGGCAAACCAAACAAACAAACCAAAAACAAAAACAACAACAAAACTAAGAAAATCGAATACAAAACTGTTGGCGAGCAAACGAAGTCAGCTAGAGGAGCGAAAAAAATTGTGTTTCTGAGCTGGTGACGTAGTTTGTGTTTGGTTTTATGTTTTACAACCCAGATATGAGGGGTATACATCAGGGGTATATGGTTTCTGTAGTTAGGGGGGCGAACTGGATAAAACAGGCTTTGGAAGATCTATGATTTTAACACATTTCTCTAGAGTCTAGACCTTTAAACACTTTGATTAAATGACTTCTTAAAGTCTTAGTTTAAGCTTATTGCTTTTTCGGACCTTTTCTTCAGACGTTTTACCTACAAATCAATTTTATAACACTTTTTATACCATCATATTTAATACAATATTTTATATATATGTATATATATATATATTTTTTTTTTTTTATAATTTTTTAACTTTTAAACTGTTTCTATACCATTTTTATAATAAATTTGTATTTCTTGTAGCGGGTATCTTGTATTCGCAAGTCTCCCAAATCGATCCATTCTTTCCCCATATTGCCTTTGAGTTCCGCTGATGTTGACAGTGGCAACAAAAAACGAGCTGCGACAAATTTATTTAGCATTGGCTTCGAAAAGAGAACCCGACTGCTTCCTGTGCGTCATGTACACATTTTTATTAAATTTTTATTTTTTTTTGCCTGCTTTTGGCATATATTTCCAATGCCTGCAATGTGGGTGGATAGGTAGGAAGGTATCGGGGACATGTCTGTTTGATAAGCCCCCAAGGTGCATTGAACCCCACCATCTGTACATCACCCAACATTGGGTAGGTGTTCCCCTCTTTTTTTCTGCGTTTTTTTTTCCAGCACGAGCTTGTAACTTTCCGCTCCGAGAGTTACATTTAATTTTGATTTCCAGTTCACAGGTATTTATTGTTTTATCGGGTACGGGTTTATGGCAATGTCGGGGGCAAACTGGTTCTGGTCTCTATAACCTAATCGTAATCGCCTAATTTGCACGTGTTGGTTTTGGGTCGAAAATCTCGACGGTGTACCCAGGGAACTGCATTGATAACTGATTCATGGCAAAATATATATGTTTATATACAAACAAATTCAATCAAAGTCAAACTCTTATCACATAGGAGAATATAGGAACATATATTATAGCGTTTTTATTAAAAAAAAAACCAGAACTTCCAGGTTCTGTTTTGTAATTGTTAGGAATTTAAGTCAATAGGCCTATTAACTTCTTTATCGAATCAATACTGTCCCGATGGCAATGTCATTGATCGGTTCCGTTCATAAACAATACTTTTTCTTTCTTTTTTTTTTTTTTTTTTTTTTTTTTAAATATATGTACAATTTTGTTGATGGTTTACCTCGTGATATTCACGTGCTTCTTCCGTCACAAGATTCTTGTTAGATTTC